TCAATGTTGACATAGATGGCCTCTTTAACTTCTCTTTCAAACCAGCAGTCTTCTCTGTCCAAAATATTTTTATTTTATTTTTATTTTATTTATTTGTCAAATGCTTACAAGATAATAGGTATAAGTATAAACATGAGTAAGAATACAGGAAATAGGTACGAATAAATGGGGACAATAGGACAGGGACAGTAGGCACAATGGTGCACTTATGCATGCCCCTTACAGACCTCTTAGGAATGGGGTGAGGTCAATAGTGGATAGTTTGAGGTTAAAGGAGTGGGAGTTAGAGGATGTAACAACAGTCAGGTAGTGCATTCCAGGCATTGACCATTCTGTTGCTGAAGTTGTACTTTCTGCAATTGAGTTTGAAGCTGTTTACATTGAGTTTGTACCTGTTGGACTTTGCTGTCTTCAAAAAGTACTCATATGCCTGCAGATAAACCAAGCCAAAATACCATGAAAAATGTGCCACCTGCAAATAAATCAATTGTGAAAATTTAAAACAGAATCTGTTCTGTAAAATATTTATTGATACAAACTATGAAGTCCTTTAGAATATATTGGAAAAAGTATGCAAAAAGTTTGAGAGTTGGCTTATCTACAGGTACCATAATGCATTTTTCATGGTACTTTGGTTAAAAACAATCGGGGGATGTTTATCCACAGAGAGGCTTACCCACTGTACAGTATGCCACTTTTCCTATCTGGCTTTCAGTTTGCTTTCAGCCCAATTCTAGCCTGAGACCAAAATAGGTAAAACAACTCTTTTTCACATCTATTCTTATCTAAGCTCATTTTTGGAGGCCCTGCGCAGAAGGTTTGCACAGAAGGAGGTAATGGCAAGTGGCAAGTTCATAGCAGGCCTTCTCATTAACAGTGTGTTAACTTCAGAATATCATTTTCAGGGAGGTACATCTGGCCTTTTTTTTCCCTGCTGTGTCTTTGGTGCCAAAGATTTTTATACTCTGAGGGCATTTAATTTAATTTTTTACATTGCTGATACCATCTGTTGTTCAAATTAGTGTTATCTTTTACTCTATAGAGTCCACTGCTTTTAGCAACTTTTTATTGATTATTTTAACAGAATGGTTTATTATGTCCCTTATGGATTTTTGGCTGGATTTTTGTTGTATAGTGCTCTGAATGCTCTTGCTTCAGGCTGAGTAGCAGATTTTAGAAATAAAGATATTTAGCTGAAATTTATTAGGAACATAACATCCCTAAGACTTGGCTGCATGTACTTTTTATATTGTCTAAGCTGCCCCTAAGGATTCAGAATTGCTGATCTGGGCAAGATCTTTGGGACTTAGCTTATAGTTTGAAATACACAGAAAGGTTTTATTAAAAGTAAAAACAAATTTTGAATGAATAAAATGAATGCCGTTTCAAACTTTGCAAAATAAACTGAATATAACTTAAGCAAGTTAATACTTTGCATTTTCCCTACAATGCTCTTCGTAACATGCCATGAGGGGTAAATTAATTAAATATATTATTTTCCTTAATTATATTTCAAAATCTGTTGCACATACAATTAGCATATCTTTAAATCTAGTAATATGAAAAATGTTTTATTATTCATCTACTTTTTATCTTAGCCTCATGTTTTTTTAAAGTGTCTACTCAGTTAAATTCAGTATAAAATATAACTTTAAAAAAAACAACAAGTCTCAAATAAATTTTGAAATTTAGTTAGAAAACAAAATGCTTGCCAGAATAAGAATTTTTTAAACAATGACAAAGATATGAAGGAAGGAGCCAAATGGTTCTGTTAGAGTAGGGATTGCCCCAAGTTAAAAACATTAATTAAAAAGAGCGTCTCACATTTCTCCATAAAACATTCTCGTAGATAGCATATGTAAAATAATCTCTGGGCAGAAAGAGAGGGAGGGGAGGGAAGAAGGAAGGAAGGAAGGAAGGTAGGAAGGAAGGAAGGAAGGAAAGAAGGAAAGATCTGTGAAGAGACATGCTTAGGAGTTTAAAAGGCTGGAGAATTGTTTATAATTCAAAACATCCTGTAAGCACAGACAGACTCCTCCAGGATAAATATATTGTTTCTGACATTGTCTGATTTGAAACCATGAGTTTCTGTTAAAATATTAATTTAACATTTTCCTTGTTTTGACTACAAGTAGCTGCACATTCTCAAGTCTTAGACAGCTGTTGTATATTAGCATAAAATACTTGGAGACCAGCATTTTAAAAGAAACAAAACAAAATTACAATTTTGAGGTTGTTGTTGTTGTTGCAATTTTTGTTTTACAGAAATTTTTTTGCTATAAAAGAGCCAACAATTTATAAAAAAGTCAGCTCCTTAAACATGTTAAATATGTACTTGACATCGCAAATATACAAATTTTATATATATTGTTTTTGATAATATTTGTGGCTGTATAATTTGAAATAGACTAAATGGTTTTTTTCTCTTGCTAAATGTCAACAAGCATTTTGAGTGAATAAAATATGCAAAACAATACTTGTATAACATCATTAAATACTTTAAATATCAGAAAGTGCTGCTCTCCATTGCTGAAACCATTTAAAATTTAAGTATACTCTAAATGGAAATGTGGAATATCTTGGCCTTAGAATATATGTAAAGGATATAAAATACAATTTACCAAGGCTGAAGACAAAGTAGGATGTTTTTTTCAGAACACAGTACAGTCATTACTTTTAAGATGAGAAATGATATAATACAGTGGTTAGGTTACTTGATTGTCACCAAGAACATCCAAGTTCAAGGCCAGTCTCACCCTTACAAGATCCCTGGGGGATCATCAGCAATCCTGCATTTGTAGCTCAACCCTCAAGATTGCTTTTAGTGAGGAAAAAAATTAATGGAAGCAAATATTATGCTTCCTTAAGCAGATACAGAAATGTTGGCAAATAAATCTAATGAATAAAAGTATAAATATGATATTTGTAGAATGAGGTCTATCATTTTGTTATCCATATCCATCTACTTGTATTTAAGACATGCTTGTGATGGACATACTAATTTCCAGCAAAAATAAGTGTATTTTTTTTCTTAAAGCCTACTCAGTTCTATGAAATATTTCCCAGAATGATTTTTTGAGTTCTGGCCTGATTTGGCCTGGCAAGCCAAATCAAGCCATGCCAAGCCATACTAAGTCAATGGCTTCGTCAGTTGTTCATTAGACTTCCAATAGCCTGGACTCTTCTGGATATAGATGTTTTTCCAGGCAAACAGTATGCAGAATTATTCTAGAGTAAGGTTATTTACAATGATATCTTTTGGGAGGAATCTGATATCTTTGTTGAAGCTGTATGTCAATTGTAAAATATATCTGACTATGTCTGGAACCCTGAAAAGTCTAGGGAATGTAGGCAGAATAAATGCAAGCAATTCACATTCTGCTGTACTTCCTCCAAATCTACATTAGTTTATTCCTAATGATTGGGTTATCATCTAGTATGGATGAACTATTAAAAAGGCCTTTTTCCTCTCCAGGGAGGACCCATGCTCACCTGTCCCCTGTAAGATGTTGATTGGGAGGAATGAAATTAGATAACTAAAACAATGCTATGGTTTTTGTTTCCAAAATGAAAGGAAACTCAGAATTCCATACCACTTAATACAGCATTTAAAAAGAAAATTTAACAACAAAACCAAAAGCAATTAGAAGGATTTATCAGAGCTTGGTTTAATAGACTTTGTAAAGAACAAAATAGTGCATGTGAAAAAATGGTGTTGCATATGGGTACAATTCCATTTGTCATGTAATACATTTTGGGTTTAATAGGCCTATTCACCTCTTAAGCTGAAAGCTTACTATATAATAATTAGGTGAATGTAGAAAGAAATGCAAACATTTGAAACATCCTTCATGGTGACAGCCAGTAGCAGCCATATCTATTTGGGGAGTCTTTGGTCAGCTTCTGGAAAGGTGGGAAAAATGTCTCTGCAGCCTTGCTTGAGACTCAGACAGAAGTAAACAGCTGTGGGGCTAGCTAGTGCCCAGAAAGCCCTGTCCCCACATTTTAATTAATAAGGTAATCTTATAGGGAAAATGTAGTTAATATAGATAATAATTTAGGAATCTGAATCTGAGTGAAATTGCCCTTCACTGTGGCAGTTCGTCTTCAGTTTTTCATGTAGGAAAAGTTACAACACTTAAATACAATTTGGCAATGAAAGATTCTTTTGTCTCTCCCAAAGCTGTTATAACAAATCTAATATCTAAGAACAAGAATTAAATTGACATTTTATGTTGGTTTACATTTTCCATAGAGAATATGGTTGATAATTATACTGGAACTCTTTGATGGCATAGAATTCCTTTTCAATGTCATCAAACAGCAGGAATGAAACATCAAGAGCTGCGGTGGCACAGTGGTTAGAATGCAGTACTGCAGGCTACTTCTGCTGACTGCTGGCTGCCTGCAATTTGGCAGGTTGAATCTCACCAGGGTCAAGGTTGACTCAGCCTTCCATCTTTCAGAGGTGGATAAAATGAGAACCCAGATTGTTGGGGGCAATATGCTGACTCTGTAAACAGCTTAGAGAGGACTGCAAAAGCACTGTGAAGCAGTGTATAAATCTAAATGCTATTGCTATTAAGATATAGGAAACATCATACTAAACTTTACATTCTAACAACTCCAGATTGGTTGGCACACATTTATAAACAGATTGGAACATATTTTCTGGAAAAGCCTAATTAGTCAGGGTCTTTTTGGTTGTAACTTTGAAGAATTTGAAATTTTATATTGAACTCAACTATTATAATGAACACAAAAAAAACTCAGCTGAAAAGAATGCTGCAGACCTATTACAGTTAACAAAAATGTTGAGAATGCAGTGATTAGGATAGTGTGTGATAATGATTTTCAATGTTTGTGCTTTTCAGGTAAAGAAATGGACATTTGTTGACTATTCATTTTAACGCCTCACTGCAATATGAAGGAATAATTTTTATATTTCCTTTTTGACTGAAAATGTCTGCAAATATAGGAAAGAAACTATGTTATTTCAAAATATCTATCAAGAAGTGGAACAAGAAGTAGCAGAAGAAATATAATATTTTCTGGTTATGGTGCAGTTCTGGAGTGGAGTTAAAGTTATAGCACATAGGTAGCCTACATCTTCTAAATTATGGAAATTTTTTGGAAGACGTTGACCTGGATTTTGTTCTTAATTATGGTATTATCAGAATATCACGGTGACAACAGGCTTTCATATAGTTCTCAAGGTAGGGATTGAATGTTTTAAGCTAATGTCTTTTGACCCATATTTAATTTGGTTGCCGTCCTAAATTTCTTTTCTTTTTTAGTATGCCCCAATTTACTTCTGAGTGTTCATATATACAAACCACTTTTTAAAAAACATTGATATATTAATTGTGAGAGAAAATTTAAATGAATTGTGATTTTAGTTATTTTCTCTCAGGGCATCTAAATAACATTTAAAACTTTTAGTTAGGAAAAAAACCCCAATATTTTAGTTTGTTATGTAATAATAAATCCTCAGCATTCAATTATTGCCTGAGTAACTTGAAGTAATATTATAGTCTAAAACATGCCTTAAAACATTTGCTTTCTGTTTGCTTATTGAACTATGATTAGTTAATAGTTCTAAGGATCCTACAGCAATAGGATCATTAAAGATCCTATCTGCAATATAAGACATTAAAGTAAGCTTGTTTGTATGTTGACTCCCTAGGAGGAAGATGAAATCAGTGGGAATTTTTGTTATTGGATTAGCCTTTATTTATTTACCAAATTATTTTATAGCCAACAAAAATATGCAAATCTTAGCAGCAAATATAGATAAACAGATTTTTTTAAATAATATGAAGTAATATTTTCTTAAAGAAATGTTAATTCTTAAACTGAAGTTGCTTGGATAGCATAACATATAAATAATGTTGTATTATTCCTTTTGGTATACTTTTATATCTTTTTTCTTTTTTATGCCTGTTTCTTGGATTGGTTTACCATGTGATTTGAAAGAGGAATTCCTGTCTTATCTTGAACACTATCAACTAACAATCCCAATAAGGGTTGACCATAATGGAGCCTTCCTCAGTTTTACTGTGAAAAATACTAAACCCAGCGGAAGAAAGAAGAGGAGTACTGAATTTTATGACCGAGAACTGGCAGTTTCTAAATTATTTTTTAAACTTTCTGCCTATGGCAAGCACTTTCATTTAAACTTGAGTCTCAACACAGATTTGGTCTCCAAACACTTCACAGTAGAATATTGGGGTAAAGATGGACCTCAATGGAAACATGATTTTTTAGACAACTGTCACTATACAGGATATTTACGTGGCCAGCATGGTACATCTAAAGTAGCAATAAGCAACTGCAATGGTCTGGTAAGTGCAAATTATGTACTTGTCAATATTCTGAATTGTTTAATTTTGCAGAAAGAAAGACTCTGTGTCCATACTCATACTGTATTTTAACATCATTATGGTACTGAAAAAAAGTTAATATTTATATCAGTTTAAAGTTTTAGTGACACATTAGCAAGTAAAGTGATTACTTTATCTAATGTTATCCCTCCCCCCATATTTTATCTGCCCCCCCACTGATACATGTATGAAAGTTTATGATTATTATTTCTGTTGTGGGCAATAGTCCTGTGTACTCTGTTGAATAAGGTGGGCAAAATGATGAAATATATTTTGCTTTCCTTTTTGTATCTTAAATGTATGTGATTACTTTAAATTATTTGTTTAATTTTATGCAATAATAAATTATTAAACATTTGGTTGCGGAATGTAGTAAGAACTGTATATGAGGGAAGTAAAGCATGTGTGAAAAGAAATGAATTCTCACATTCAACATTGAACTGGGAGTACATTAATGATGTATGATGTCCTATTGGTTGTTTAACATATTTATCAATAACTATATAAATAATACTTGTGATAAAGAGAGGTTTGTAGGTTCAGAATGTAAATATTTTTTGAATGCATATGGTGCCACATTGTTGGCTGAGTACCTGATAGCAAATTTTAGACAGGGTATAAAATTAATGTTTCAAAGACCAGGAACTAGATTTTTGGAGTGAACACTTGCAAATTATATACAAATGCCAAAAAAAACAAAAACCTAGAGTAAGTAGATGAATCAATGTATCTAGGAATAAACTCAACACCCACATGGTATTCCCTTTTGAGAGAGGTTAAGGTTATAAATGCTGGTAGAAAAATAGTGAGTAGTACATGGTTGCAATATGTCATAGTATGCACAATGTGACTAGGTGAGGCAACCCAGGAGCAAATGCAGTACACAGAGGTTTGTATTTACATATAGTGGTTTTATCTCTACAAAAACATATATACATGCAAGTACTTTTAGACAGGCCTTGAACAAACAACAACCAGTAATTTACAGCATAGAAGCACATGAAGAGAGAGAGAGAGAGAGATACCCCAACAGGGCCTCTTTTATAGTACAGCTTCTTAAAGAGGTAACAGTCACATAACCCCACTGACTCATTACTACCATTGCATCATCATTACAACATTACAGTATTACAGCAGCTGGTCAGCTATTAAATCATCATTACACTGACACAATGAATGAATATTTATCAAAAATAACAAAAATGGCTATGTATGTTAAGAATGGTTATTAATGGGAGACAGAAAAGTAAGTTGAATGCACTGAGAATGGGGTATTGAAGGAGTGTCCATTGTAAACAAGAAGAGAGAGACTCAGAAATGAATGACTATTGAATGAATGGATATTGAATGAATGAGTGACCAGACTTTCATAAGTAAATAAATGAACCAACATAATGCTTTCAACTTATTTCTTTAACTGGGTTCTGAGTGCAGATCATGTTTTAGGTCATATTTATATAGAAATATAGAAATATTGAAAATTCAAAATAGTTCATGTAATTTTATGTGGTGATTGTGTATGTATGTATGTATGTATATACATTTCAATCTCTATGCTATTATTCCTTTAATTTGTGTAGGGACCCTCTTAGGACTCCCTAGCAATTCAAAATGCTGTACAAATAAAAATCCATTGTAGCTACAAATTTCATACATTTCTGGTGTGGTGTAGTCTTGATTGAATTACTCTCACTGTTTTTAGTAGGTCTTTCCTATATGGATCAACTCTGGCTTCCTGCTGATGTGGCCTGATGTTCCTTGAAAACATCTGAAATGCCTATATCACATTGGCAACATCTGTATAATTTTACAGATGTTTTTATTGGACAGAATCTTTTTAGGAAGAAAATAGTATAAGCTCTTCTTATAAACTTCACAATGCAATTTCCTAATACTAGCAAATCTGTTGGCACAAGTCTTTGGCTACAAAAATGAAAACTGGGAAGGAAAATAACTGGTTTTTTTTCAGTATTAGTGGTAATAAATCACAGCCAAAGGGATAATCCAAGGATAACCTGTATTTTTTGTAAGTGATAATTTGCTGTCACAATTTTGTGTTATTTCAGGAGTGAATCTTATATGGAAATAGACTTGTACAGTTGTACTATAATTCAAATCTAAAAATAACTGTAAAGCACTTGGTTAGAAAATAGTAAAAGAGCACCATGTTTGGAGAATGAGATACTGCTTATTACTGTAGTAAATCTAAGTATCATCCATAATATGAGACAATCATGGCTGTTTTGCATATAGGTCTCTTAAACTTTCATATATTTTCTACAAATATAACTGCTCATTATGATTTCAAAATATTAGAATTAGGTTTATCTCTATTTTTCATTGACCCTTATTATTTTGCAACAGTGATCAGCATAACTGTAGCTTTATTAAGTTTGTCTTAAATTATTTCTCAAAGCAACAATTCCACTAGCCTGAAGAACAAGATGCACCTTTACAGGTTGCCTGTATCTTTCTAAGGGCCATGAAATAAGGATGGAATATACAATACACCAGCAAGAGTAATAAAGATTAGTTTTTCTATTTTAATAACAAAAATACCAGTCAAATGGTACACTATGTATTTATGAAGTTTGAATCATTTTACATGAGGAGAAAAAAGGAAGAGGACTTCTAGAATTATAGCTCAATGCATTTAAGAAGTGAAATAAAAGAGGAATAAATAATCTGATGTTTTTTAAATAGTGAAGTGTTTTGATCTAGTGATTAAAACTCCATGCTAGAAACTAGGAAATTCTGGGTTCTAGTCCTGCCCTTGTTGTGAAAAACGACTGGGTGACTTTGGGCCAGTCATTCTCTCTTAGCCCAATTCACTCACAGGGTTGTTGTTGTGGGGAAAATAAGAGGAGAAAGGTGTATTGGATACATTCGCCACCTTGTTTGTAAAAAATAATGCGGGATATAAATAAATAAATAAATAAATAATAGTTTTCCTTATTTTTTTTAAAAAAGTGAATGTAAAATGTATGTGGCCATTTTGTGGCTAATCATAGTATGCAGCCATTTTGAGAGGCAGGACTGGTTTTAGGACATACCTGTCATTCCCTAAATAGTCATTCTTGGATCCCATTAACATTACTGGAACATGCAGTCAAATACTGATGTTTCTCCCATGAGCTGTTCAGAGCATCCAGAAGTGGCCAACGAGGCCGAGGAAGCCCTGAGACTGGAAGAAAAGAGAGCAGAGTTGGCACTCCATAGGGCACACGTTTCTGATGCCTGGGCCATTAGGGCTGCTACAGCGGCGTCCTTTTTTACACGGGCCTCCCTACGATGGCTCTTCCACTTGAGGGATATATTGCTGGCGTCAAATGTCAGAGCCCACCAGGACATAGCTAAAATTATTGCAGCAGCAGAATTCTCCGCCGACGCCACATTTAATGCAGTCAAACTCTCGTGCCATAGCATCTCACGTATCAGCACGGAGACTGCTATGGCTCAAGCATTGGCAGGCAGATACCAAGCATAAATGCAAGTTGGCATCAGCCCCAATATCGGGGGATAAATTATTGGACAGTGTCTTGGAGCCCCTCCTTATAGAGAATAGAAACAAGAAAAAAGTGCTTCCCCCTCTTTTTCGGAGATCTGAAAACAGAACGCCCCAGTCGTTTCGAAGGGGTTCCTTTCGGCCCTACTATCAAGGCCCATACCTTCCCAGATCTCAGAGAACATCAGGCTACAGGCCCAGTTTTAGACAGGATAGGTCTGAATCTTCTGATAGAGGTCAGCGGGGAGGCCTAAACAGATGAAACCCCAGAGGCACTGGAGGCCGATTTTTTCGTCACCCCAAGTGAGTCCTTCACAGCAGTTCCCATTGGAGGGCGGCTAAAATTGTTTGCTGATCAATGGGACAGCTCCACCTCTGATGCATGGGTCAGGGACACTATTAGGTTTGGTTTGGCGCTAGAGTTTCAATCCTCCCCCCCCCCCGAACTTTTTCATTAGGAGCCCTAGGTCCACGGACCCCATTAAGAGGGCGTTAATGCAGGAGGCTATCAATCATCTACATATTCGAGCCATTAGAAAGGTCCCATCTGAGCAGCGGGGTCAAGGCTGTTACTCTATATTGTTCGTAGTCCCAAAGAGTTTGGGGGGCTGGAGACAATTCTGGACCTCAAATGTCTGAACAGATCATTGGTTTATCGAAAATTCAAGATGACTACTCTCCAGTCCATTTTGCTCAACATTAGAGAGAACGATGTCCTGACCTCTATAGATCTCACAGAGGCCTATCTACATATACCAATTAGACCTGCTCACTAGAAATATCTTAGATTTTGCTATTGTGATCAGCACTATGAATATATCACCCTACCATTCAGTCTGGCTTCGGCCTCCAGGACTTTTACCAAGGTCCTCGCGGCTTTGGCTGCCTCACTCAGGATCAAATCTATTCGCTTACAATGTTATCTGGATATTTTAATTTTGTCATCTTCCAGACACCAAGCAAAATTGGATACCAAGATTACTCTGGAGACCCTTCAGGGTCATGGCTTTTCCATAAATTGGGATAAAGGCCATTTGATCCCCTCAACTAGGTTAGTTCATTTAGGGGCAGTGATAGATACTGTGGAGGGCAAGGTCTTTCTCTCTCAGGACAGGTTAAACAGTATCCAGTCTTTGGCCAGAGAGATCAGAGCCTTAAAGAGGGTTTCCCTGGCAGTGCTGTCTCAACTGTTAGGGAAACTGATTTCTTGTATTTCCATTGTGCCTTGGGCTCGATTCCATTCTAGAGAGTTGCAATGGTTCCTGCTACCTTTCCAGCAATCCGGAAAAGCTACTTCCAACGTCCGGATAAAGGTACCACACAATGTTCTCCGATCGCTCCGCTGGTGGTCGGAAAAAAAAATAAACAAGGGGTATCCTTTCAAGGAACCTTACAGGGCAATGATCACAACCAATGCCAGCCTGGTAGGATGGGGAGCTCACTTCCAATCCCACACTGCGCAGGGAATTTGGACTATTTCCGAACAATCACAAAGCATCAACCTGTTGGAGCTGCGAGCAGTTCATCTGGCCTTACGCAGTTTTCTACCCCTTTTCCAATCATGCCACGTTCTGGTCTTGACAGACAATATCACAACTAAGGCCCACGTAAACAGACATGGGGGTGCCCATTCCAAACTTCTGGTGCTGGAGACGGCCAAGTTGTTCAAGTGGGCTGAGGCCAATCTGTTTTCATTCAAGGCAGAACACATAACAGGGGCCTTAAACACACAAGTGGACTGGCTCAGCAGGGCCACGATAGATGAAGCAGAGTGGCGCCTACACCCGTCTGTCTTCCAGGACGCAGTGCGGAGGTTTGGGCAACCGGTGATCCATCTATTTACCTCTCCTCTCAACGCCCAATTGCCCCAGTAGATTTCAAGGTACCCGACTCAGGGGGCAGAGGCCGTCAAGGCCCTACGATGTCAGTGGCCTCCTGGACTTCTATATGCATTTCCTCCACTCCCGGTAATACCCAGGTTGATCCAGAAGTTATTGGAGGAACGAGCAGAATTGATATTGGTCGCCCCTTACTGGCCCAGGCGAACGTGGTTCGCAGATTTACAGGACCTGTCGAGAGAACAACCTTGGAAAATTCCACCGTTGAAGGTTTCCCTCTCCCAAGGGCTGGTACTTCACCCGGACCCACAATGGCTCAGTCTAGCTGTATGGAGGTTGAGTGAAGCCGTTTAAGGGCCCAACAGATTTCAGAGGATGCTATTGCCACCATTCAAGCATCCAGACAGTCCTCAACAAATCGTATATATGAGGCCACGTGGTCCGCCTTCTGTCTCTGGTGCCAGGGGTCTAAGATCAACCCAACTGCCCCATCAATAGGACAATTATTGGACTTTTTACAGGAGGGGTTGGCCAAGGGCCTATCTCCAAATACTTTATGCAGACAGGTGGCAGCTTTAGCCTCGGTGATAGCTTGGATGGCCTCCATTCCATAGCATACCATCCACATGTCCGCAGCTTTCTTAAGGGTGCTGCAAACTTACGACCTCCTGTAATTCACTGCTATCCCACCTGGGACCTCAACAAGGTGTTAACCGTACTTACAACTGGCCCGTTCGAGCCTTTAAGAACCACTAGTCTTAAATTCCTGACATATAAGGTGGCCTACCTAATTGCAATCACATCAGCTAGGAGAATTTCTGAATTGGCGGCATTGTCAATGAGAAAGGACCTGTGCGTGTTTCATGCGGACAGAGTGATTCTCCGATTGGATCCATCATTTACTCATAAAGTAAATTCAGCCTTCCACAGAGTGCAGGAGTTGGTCCTTCCAAATTTTTGTTTGAAACCATCTCATAAACTGGAGCATCAATGGCATCAACTTGACGTTCAAAGGGCCTTAAGCATCTATCTAGACCGCATGGCGGCATTTCAAAAATCTGTCGCTCTATTCCTATCCTTCAATCCATCCACTTTAGGACAAAAGGTGTCATCGACGACCATCGGTAGATGGTTGAGAGCCACCATAGCTAAAAGTTATGAATGCCTGTCCATCTCAGTTCCTCAAGGCATTACAGCCCACTCAACAAGGAGCGCGGCAACATCAGCAGCATGGGCCATATGGGCTTTCATAGATGAAATTTGCAGAGCGACAACTTGGGCTTGACCATCTTCCTTTGTCAGAAATTATAAAGTTGATGTCTATGCCTCAGCAGATGATTTATTTGGCAGAAGAGTCCTGCAGAAGGTCCACAGAGTTTAGAAGTGGATTTCGATCCAGACGAAGTCCCTCCCTAAGGACAGGCCAAGCTTTGGTATGTCCCACTTCTGGATGCTCTGAACAGCTCATGGGAGAAAGGACGTTGGTACTTACCTGATATGCCCATTCTCTGTGAGCTGTGAAGAGCATCCAGCCCCACCCATTTCTTTCCATCTGGTGGGGTTCCATTCCTGTCAGGGATCTAGATTAGGTGATGAGTCCCGGACTTTGGCACTCAGTCTTCGCAAAACTGTGGAATGCTGAGGAGGTGTCCTGTGGAGGAGGAGGAGCATCACGGAGTTTTAAGCCCAGCTTTTCCAGAAGAGACTGAAACACCTCCCACTTCTGGATGCTCTTCACAGCTCACAGAGAACGGGTATATCAGGTAAGTACCAACGCCCTTTCTCAACAATTTTAAAGATGTGTGGACTTCAATTCCCAGAATTCCCTGGGAAAGCTTGCTGACTGGAAGAATGCCGGCAGTTGAGGCCCACCCATTGTAAAAATTTTAAAGTTGAGAAACACAGACTTAAGACATCACAATCTTCTCAGTCATGTTTTAGTGTATGATATTAGTATTTTCTACATCCTCTTACTTTTAAGAAAATGAGGCTAATTTCTCTTCAGATTTTGGCATAATATAAATGGTCTCACTTGCCTCCTAACATTTCTGTGAGGTAAAACAGATTTGTTACAATGATTCCACACTTAACCCATAAATTGTAGTTCATGATGAATTTTTATCCAGAGCAGGTCTCAGTGTGCTTAGTTATGTGGCTCTTGTACAGGGCAGCTGTTCTGTACTAGCTTTAGCTGTCAGTACTCAATTAATTATCCTAATAGAACAAATAAAGGTCTGTCTAGATAGGATTTATTTTTCTATCTATGTAAGTAGATTGGATGAATTTATTTTAAAACCCCATATCTTAATGCGTAAACACATTCAATTAAAGAGTGCTAATTTATCTGTAACTTTTTCCTTCAGCGAATGTTAATCATTCCCTGTATGAATTGGAAAAGGCTAAGGAGAGGAAAAAAAGACGGATTTCTTTTTAAATAAACAGGACTTCTCAGGGGCATAAGAAAATCTTCATTTTAGGGGACCCCTTTTCCCTCTCTCATGAATTGGTGAAACTTGTAGTGCTGAGAGAAAGAGGCAACTCTTTCTATCAGAAGCTCCCCTATGAATTGTTATATAGATAGTCCTCATTTAGCATCCGCAAGTGGGACTAGGAAGCGATCACTAAAGGAGTAATGTGGGTTTTTATTTTTTTCATTTATCAATGTGTATGCCATAACTTGAGGCAGCTTGTACAATAGGATTGGGACATCAAGTAAAAAAGAAATTAAAAAAAGAACCAAAATGAACAGCAGAATACAAGATTATTATATTATTAAAGATAACATTGGTTAAAAATTCAGGTGACTAAATTATTCAGCATAAAAGATAAATTATTGTCAAAAGAAGCAACTAGGATTGTTTGCATAAATGGTGTTATATACCATAGTTTTCTGTTCTTTCAGTATTTTCCTTTGACAGATACATAACTACTTATTTTATTTTGTAATGTATTTATGCTTTTAAAGAAGAAAATACAATTTTAATCTACTGTTGGGTTTTAGTATAGTATCCATATGTCTTTCTTTCAGGGAGGTTAATCTTTTTGGTTTGGTAATTCTTAACGTTTTCTGCATTTGTTAGTCCTATGCCTTAATTGAAACAGAAGACTTTTGAAATATATTCTTGAACAAGCAAAAACATTCTACTTTTTATTTCTACATCAAAAGCCTAGACTGAAGTCATGGCCCTCATGATTTTCCTGTTACTTTTATGTTCTGTGTTTATCAGTGAACATTTCCCCTGTTATAACACTCAAACAGTAATAGTCGAAACTAAGCATAAATTAATTATCAGTTTATTATAGAAATTGAGGATTGCATCTCTATTTTGATAATATGCTAGATTGTGCAGCAGCAGTGGTTGGAATTTAAACAATTTCTTAAGCAATGTAAATAACATGAGTAATTTTGGTGGTTGTTGATTAGATGGTATTAGATCAAAAGAATACATTTTTCTTTTAATATATTGTTTTGAATACTTTTATAATTCAAATATTTATAGTGTCTTATGAATGTATTATACTTGTAGCTATTTTAATATAGTGATTTTAATAAGTGATGGTCTCTGATAAGTGATGGTCTCTGGCATTATCTGAGTTTGGAAGTTATACATGGTTAAGCCTGATTTGTATTTGGATGAGACTAGTTTATAGGCTAGTTTGAGATATGAGAAGTTCGAAAGCATCTTGGAAGAAGATAATGGCAAAACACTTCCAAAGTATTGCATGTATTGCATTTAGAAAAGTATTGCATCTAGACTTGAGTTCAACTTGGAGACTTAATCTTTTTGGTATATTATAGTAATTATATAATTCATAATTATATAATATATATAATTTCAGGAAAGGTTTGGTTTTTTTGCTATTTTCACAGTTCATATTTAAATTTTTGCCATGCTTGTGTATTGAAACATTGAAACCTGCGTATTATATAAAATTGGATGTCTAAACTGGTAGAAATGCACAATTCTTTCTATAGGAGAATATGTCTATGGGAAATATGTATGAATCTTCAAATTGAATGTTAATTATGCATTATAGTTTTGTGCTTATTAATAGCATTCCATATGCCTGCTTTCATATAGAAATATTTTATTGACATTAAAAAGTTTAACTTAACTGGGAGTCTAAATTATATACATTGAAATAAGTGTTTTACATATTTTAGATAACTTTTAGATACATCTTTTCTTTTCTCCTTAAGCATGGTATAATTGCTACAGAAGATGAAGAATATTTTATTGAACCCCTAAGGAACACAAGTGAACAGTCTGATAATTTTCATTTTGAAGTTGGCCATCCACATGTAATTTATAAAAAATCTTCACTGTATCATCAGTTCTTCTATGATCATACCCATTGTGATATTTCAGGTAAATAGGTCAGAATTCCAGTAATAATTTCATTACCAATTGTGAAAAAATACCTAGCTATTTTTATTTTTAATTCAAAGAAAAATACAATTGTATATTTTGTTATAGTTTGTTTTGTGCTACTATTTTTTTCGAGAAAATCATGGACCCTCAGAGCAAAAATCCAAAATACTGCTATCTATTCAGCTTCTATTAAAGCAGCTAAATTATTATCAAAAGGAAGTCCTGTGTAGTTATCAATAGGAAAGTCCTTATCAGTTCAAGCTGTACATCAATTTGCAAGTTTCTCAATCAAAGCCTTTCTTATTAGAACCAGATTTGGATCCCCACAGAAATAGGCTTTCCAGTTTAATATGAAGATTATAATTTTCTCTATGGCTTTGTTTATTTTATTAATTTTTAAATTGATTTTGATTATTTTATTATGATAATTAAATGTAAATATTGCAAGTCTTGGCTTTGAGAGGATTTAATTTTACTAATCTTGTTGCTATATTTTTATTAATTCCTTTATGTGCTTCTTAGGAAAAAGATAAAATATGTTTATGTTCTTATATGTTGTTAAATATTGATAGAATCCTGGATCATGAGGCCTAGCACACAGTCACTTATTCCCTAGTCCTGTTGGTTGGATTACTGAAATATGCTCTACATGGGGCTACCCTTGAACAGTATTTTAAAGCTAAAACAGTTACAGAACATAGGGGCTTGGTTCTGGAGTAACACCACTGGACCTGGAAGCTGCACTGGTTATCAGTTTGCTTCCAGGTCCAATTCAAGATATTGGTCATAACCTTTATGTCATGGGTCTAGAGTATCTCTAGAGTCATCACATCTCAATAGGACTAGCTCATCCCACTCACTTCAGTGAATTCCAAATACTTAATTGGATTCCATCTGCCAAAGGATTTCAATTGGAGAGGTTGAGGAGAAGAGTCTTTTTTGCTATGGCCCTTATCCTTTGGGATATTCTCTCGAGGTGAGACAAGTGCATGTGCGCGCACTTGTGCATGCAATTGCATTTGTGAAAGTAGCATGCACATATGTGTAAAACTCCCCTCTCCCTCCCTGCCATCATTCCACTGGTCTGCAGATCTGAAAAGGTTGGGGAATGCTGCTTTACAGCACTCCCTGAGTATTTTACAAATGTCAGCATATCAACCCAACTATCTGGGTCCTCATTTTACTGACCTTGGAAGGATGGAAGGCTTGAGTCAGTCAAGATCAAACTCCTGGCTGTGGGCAGAGTGAATATTATAACCATTGCACCATCATCATTTATATTTACTGTTTCCCCTTTTATAATAAAATATTTGAGAATAGTTATGACAAGTATAGATTTTTATACCAAATCAGGTTATTTAGTGTTTTTAATTTTTAAAATTTCTAATTTGTATAATTTGTTATGATTTAATTTTTAATTTTTTCCTATGCTAAATAAAATATCAGTTTGTTGAAGAAATTGGAACAAAATAATTTAAAAACAGACACACATGTATATGTTTAACATATATAAATATATATTAAAAGAGCAGTCAGTCATGTTACTCATTATTTTGATTCCTAGAAGAACTCACAAGAAGTGGTAAACCTTGGTGTTTGAACAATACTGTTGCTTTTCCAACTCTTCTACCAGTTAATCAGACTTTGAACAATCATCATCGATTGAAGAGATCAATAAGCACTGAACGTTTTGTGGAGACGCTGGTAGTAGCAGACAAAATGATGGTGGGATATCATGGGCGCAAAGATATTGAACATTATATTTTGAGTGTTATGAATATTGTAAGTTTTATCCCTCTATATATTCATGTAACTTATTTCAACATTATAGGTTGTAATGTTGTTAAATTTAAAATATAAGGATTTATTAGTAAAGGTGTTATATTATTTACTTCTTTGGAAAAATGTCTATAAAATATGAATCAATCGTGTGCTAGCAATGCATCAAATGCAATATTTTAAATGCAATAAACAATCAGTACACTTGCACTGATGATGTTACCTAGTTATGGTATTGAAACATTTGCAAGAAAACAAGCTCAGAGATCATCCAGGACCCCTCAGATACAATAAAGGTAGTTCTCAACTTACAACTGGTCACTTAGTGACTATTGGAAGTTACCATGCTTTTGCTTAATGACCATGGCTTTTATTTAACAACCACTCAACAAAGCTCATAAAATTGAGTCACATGGCTAACCCTCTTTATAACTATCGCAACTTACAGGTGTCATGAGTAGGCTCCGTTACAGTCTTTAAGTCAAGAGCTACCTGTAATTATAGGTATTTTTAGGCAATTTTTATTTTACTGATTGATTGATTGATTTGAATCAAGGCAGTGAAGATATCTAATACTCCTTCTTCCTCCCATTTTTCACACAATGACAACCCTATAAGTTGGAATGGGCTGAGAAAAAGTGACTAGTCCAAAGTCACCCAGATGGTTTTTCATGGCCCAAGGTGGGATTAGAAGTCATAATCTCCTAGTTCCTAGGCCAGCACCTTAATCACTAGAGAAAACTGTCTCTCAGTGATATTCTAGTTCTGTGCCCAGGGCAGTATCTATTAATTGGATGACTAAATCAGAAAGGGTTGACCTTACTGTTACCCCCCACCCCCCCAAAAAAAAATTTGGTACCAGTTCCGTTAAAAGGCTATAACCACCACACTGGTATCTACTTTTCCAGTAGCAAAAGTCTCCATATAATTAATAAATTTGCTTCTTCTGTTTATAACAGATGTTTCTTTTGTTTACATGGGACCATATCACCAGTCAGTTTGTTTCATCTTGATAGGGTACTTCACTCTAGGTAGTTAGGAGGGAAATAGCCATAGTACTTTTCTCTTGGAGAGGACTAGATAAACTGCACAGATGCCAACTATCTCTTGTACCTCTGTATAAATTGCTTCACCTGCCCAATTCTGCTTGAACCTCTGAGCTAGTGCTTCTGCTCCTTTGTGGGCTTTTATCAAGTAAAACCATTTTCAGGCATGTTGTTAAAGTAGTTATTTAAAAATCAAATTGTGTGGTGGTTCAGTTTCAGTTTACTCCTTCAGTATTATGTATCTTTTTCTGGATTGGTAGCTTTTAACTGTTCAGATGTATATTGCAAAGAATTTTAGAGAGGATTCCTGTAACTCACACTAGCCTAATCCTCCATACATTCTTTCATATAAGGACTAATTTGTGTTTAGAATATGTACATAGCATCTGTTAAGACATCAATATACTGTAATGTTGTAAACAAAGCAAATGTGAGAAAGCAGTTTAGGCCCATCATTTTACATTAGTTGCTTTTCTCAAGGGCAGCCAGATATAGAGCACATTATACCAATCTGTATGGGAGGTGATTGAAACACAATTTATTGTAGCTAAATTTATCTTTTCTTGCAAAAGTAAAATGGAACACTGTCTGAAAATAAATATTTCTTAGCAGCATTGGATTCTTTAAAGGATATCTCAAAACTGAATGTAACATTTCAGGGGGAGTATCATAGTTAATATTAATATAAACATTTTCCTTATTTTTCAAGATTTAAGTTATCTAATTCTTAGAGTGTTAATAATCTGCAGTTTATACTGGATAAGTATCACTATACCCAAATAATATACTGTATTACCTATGCCTTATGATAAAATTAAAAATATTTTTAAAAATAAAAACTAAATATACATCAGATATATTTCAAAACTAACAGGTTTTTATTTGTCTGACTTTATGTCTTTTCTTCTTTTCTGGAGGTCAGGTTGCCAAACTTTACCGTGATTCCAGCCTAGGAAACGTTGTGAATATTATAGTGACTCGTTTAATTGTCCTCACAGAAGATCAGGTAAGCAAATTCAAATGTCTAAAATATAAGTAATGCAAATTAAATGTAATAAAATATGTGTAAATATTGTTTGGAAAAAATGTTTAATGATAAACATTTACCATTATCATCTACATTATTTTAAATTTGGAGAGATTAGGAAAGTATTATTTAAATAATTGAATATTAGTTCAATTGAATATCAAGAAAATTACGTAAGTAAAAGACTGGAGTTCTAAAGTGTTGTTATAACTTATTCTTTGTTCTTCAATTTTGATATTGTAAAAACCTCCTAAATAGCACTTTCCTCTGCATAACTTTTCCTTCCTTGCTGTTAAGGGAGGAAAAGATAAACATTGGACTAATTCTATAATCCTTACTTTTGGCAAAATCAATTTGAAGTTTGAAATTGAATCTTTAAGATGCATGCACAAAACATACTGCTGGGCAGATTTAACAGAGATAAAAATTGGCAAGAAGAAATTATTCCTAGAAATCACTGCTTCTAATTACAGATCATATTTAGACTTCAGAAGTCTTAACCGCTGACCCTAGTAACTTGTTTGGAACATTTCTGGTATGCATGTTGTATTGCAGCCAAACTTGGAGATAAATCACCATGCAGACAAGTCCCTTGATAGCTTCTGTAAGTGGCAGAAATCCGTTCTCTCTCACCAAAGTGATGGAAACACCATTCCGGAAAATGGAATTGCCCACCATGATAATGCAGTCCTTATAACTAGGTACGATTCACTGATTTTTTTCTATTTTCTGTTTCTCATTTATTTGTGTTTTTAAAAATACTAAAGTATAAGTATTTTTAGTAATCACATCAAGATGAAAATATTGCTTATATTGATATAGTAATACAATATATAATAATAGATCTGGGGTTGCCAACCTTTTGGATCTCAGGGACCACCAAAATCATAATTTTAAATCCTGCGGACCACTAATATGAATTTTGACTGACAGTGGCTTGCTGACATTGGTGAAGTAGTCACAAGACTGGCCCTCTGGTTATCCCGGAGCAGCTCCTCCAGTCTATGGCAGGCCGGTGCACTTGGTTGGAGTAGCAGCTCTGGGATGACCAAAGGGCCAGTCCTGTGACTACTGCAGCTCTGGAATATGGGACCGACTTTCCCACCATCATCAGCAAGCCATGCTGGGGTAGATTTCCCTTGCCTGCTGTTGGTCTTACCTTTCAGTTCCAGCTTGTATGGCTCTACTCAAAGTAAGGTTTGCGCTTGGCCGAAGGGTGAGGGCCAGAGAATGGGTGAGCCATGTGGGTGTGTAGCCTTGTGTTCCCGCGCAGCTTGGATTAATTGCTTGGCGGGGCTTTGGAAGGGGCATTTCTCTGCAGATCACCAAAAAATTTTCATGGACCACCAGTGGTCCCCGGCCCACCAGTTGGCGACCACTGTAATAGATCATACATTTTTGTCAGTAATAGATAAAGTATAAAGCCTACTGCATATGAAATGAAATAATATAATTGTAAGTTTAATGGTTTTAAAAGTATTTTAGATATTTTATTTTAGAACAAATTGAGAGCAGGAACCTAATAAGTTCCTGTACATGGAATTCTGAAAGATGTGCATTCTTCTATCTTTTTTGGAATCACCTTATAGATATATCTATCAAACAAATTTTAGATCATGGTATATATCAATGGAAGATAGCTTTTGCTTTGTACACATGGTTTATGGCTAACTGCTGAGAGAAATAAGACTTTGGTCTTTAGTTCTTGAATTTCAGGATAACTTTTTAATTTACTGATCATGTTTCTTGAGCACGCAGACCCAAGAAAAGAAAGAAATTGCTAAGGAGTTTTTTATGAAATTGTATAAACAGGAAGTCTGACTCACAGATGAACACTATACAGAAGCCTGATGATGGCAGATGAGATTCTGCCGAAATGTTGCTACAACTTTAAAAGCACAACTACAATGACGTGGGAAAATACCCGAACAAAGCTGAATGCCATACATACATACATACATGCATGCATGCATGCATGCATGCATGCATGCATATATATAGAATTTATTGTTGGAGAAAAATAAGTATCTTGCATTTAATGATACTCATCAAATGAGCTGCTCACAAACTAATATCATAAGCCATGTCATTTTTAAAATAGAGTTAAATGGTATTTCACTATAGTATACAATTTAATGTAATCTATAATTTTTATGTGCCTAAATGTCATTGAAGAATTCTTCAGCAAAACTGATCAAATATTTCATGAAATAGGTAGAGTACAGTGATACCTTGGTACTCATTGTTAATGGATTTTAGGAGGTGGGATTCATATCAAAAACAATGTGTACCAAACAAAATTTTTCCATAAGGAAAAATGTAGTGAGTCACAAGGCAGCCAATACTAACAACTTCTAGCTTGTGCATTGAGAACCAAACAAACAATCACAAAAATTTTGTGTCAAAATGCATTGAGTACCAAATTAGATGAGTTTCAAAGCAGTTGAGTACCAAGGTACCACTATTTGTTTATTTATTTATTTATTTATTTTATTTTATTTGTCAATCACTAACAAGATAATAGGTATAAGTATATACATAGTTATGAATACATGAAATGGGTACATATAAGAAAAATAAAAGAAACAATAGGACAGGGATGGTAGGTACGTTGGTGCGCTTATGCACGCCCCCTACAGACCTCTTAGAAAAGGGGTGAGGTCAATAGTAGACAGTTTAAGGTTAAAGTTTTTGGGGTTTGGGGCAGAAACCACAGAGTCAGGTAGAGTATTCCAGACATTGGCCACTCTGTTGCTGAAGTCGTATTTCCTGCAATCAAGGGTGGTGCGGTTAACCTTGAGTTTGTATCTATTGTGTGCTCTTGTGTTGTTATGGTTGAAGCCAAAGTATTCATTGACAGGTAAGTCATTGCAATGTATGATTTTATATACCATACTTAGATCAGATCGAAGATGGCATAATCCAAGGTTTTCTAGGTCTAGAATTTCAAGTCTGGTGGCATAAGGTATTCTACAATGAGTAGAGGAGTGGAGAACTCTTCTTGTGAAATATTTCTGGACTTTCTCAACTGTGCTAATATCAGATACGTAATGTAGATTCCAGACTGATGAGCTGTATTTGAGTATTGGTCTAGCAAATGTTTTGTATGCTCTAGTTAGTAGTGTGATATTATCAGAGAAAAAGCTACATAGGATTAGGTTAACAACTCTTAATGCCTTTTTGGCTACGTAGTTACAGTGGGCTCTAGCACTTAGATCATTAGAGGTGAGTATTCCAAGGTCCTTTATAGAGCTTGGATCGTCAACAAGATCTTGACAATTCAGCTTGTATTTTATTTTCTGATTTTTTTTGCCAATATGTAAGACAGAGCATTTATTTGTTGAGATTTGAAGTTGCCATTTTTTTGACCATTCTGATACATAGTCAAGATCTTTTTGAAGGGTAGCAGTATTGTCTGTGGTATTGAACAGCTTTACATCATCAGCAAAAAGTATGCAGTTGCTCTTAATATGATACTACCTACCACACGGTTCTTATATTATATAAACAAATTAAATTGTTTTACATTCTTACCAAAAAAGTAAAAAACAATTAAGCTTTTTGCATCCCGATTTACCAGAACATATAGATATAGGGATCATTTATGTAGAGTATGAAGAGAGTTGGTCCTAGAACACTGCCAACACCACTTTTGACAGGTACAGAATTTGATAGGACACTCCCAATTTTGACCATTTGTTGTCTGTTTGACAGGAATGCTTCTGTCCAGTTATGCAATTGTCCAGAAATACCGTAAGGTTTTAGTTTTAGGAGTAGTTTTTTTGTACCACTGAATCAAAGGCTTTACAGAAGTCTGTGTAGATTGCGTCTATTGTTTTGCCCTGATCGAGTTGTGTAGTCCATATGTTTTTGCAGTGTTAAGAGTTGCAGATTACAGGATAGTTTTTTTCTGAAACCAAATTGTTAATTGGAGAGTAGGTTGTTTGTCTCTAAGTGGAAGATGATGGATTGGTTAATAATTGATTCCATGACTTTACAGGTGACGCAGCATATGTAACAAATGTAAAATGCAATGCTTTTTAAAGGATTTTCCCCTAATGCTTCTCTGGTATTTTATTATGGTCTCATACAGGAAGGAAAAACAAACATTTCTATGTCCACCCATCTCCACTCCCCAGAATAGTTCTATCTCAATTTAACAACCACCCATTATATCTCATGAACTATATCCTGTAATTCATAGGCTGTTAAGATTTTAAAGCTTTCTACTGCTATAAATCTCCATATATTCTGCAGCAATGACAAGACTTAGCAACAAGGAATCATAATAAATGAAACTTATTTGAAAATCCAGCAGCTTTAGAACTTACAATTAAGATTCTGTATTTTGATTGGATTAATAGGTACGGTTTTGGCTGCAAGAAGCATCTTCCAAAATAAATTAAGTTAACACAGACATATCTTGGCTCTTTTTAAAACATAGAACTATTATTTTAATTTTTAACATTTGAAATCATTTCCTTAAAACAGACCTATTCTCAGTTTTAGAATGAATTAACTAATTAATACAAGTACATTTTTGTCCTGAACTAAATGCAAGTTGTTCTAATGGTTCTTTGTAGACTAGGATGCACTGATTCTATACACATGACATTGTAGCTGTTGGGTATAACATTGATACACCAACTAAGTTTGGGTGAATAAATATATAAAACCAA